CTCAGCTTCTAGGCTGTCAGCTTTTTAGATGCCCTGTACGTGTGAGATCATGAGTACTTGTCCTTCCGTGCATGGCCTGTGTCACTTAACCTAGCGGTCTCCAGTTCCAGCCATGTTGTTCCATGTGGCAGGATTTCGTTCTTGTTAAGGCCTAATGGTACTCTGCTGTGTGTAGGCTCCGCTTTCTTTATCTGTTCGTCAGATGATGGACACTCAGGTTGTTTCCATTTCTTGGCTGATGTGCGTAGTGCTGAAGTAAACATGGTGTGGTAGACTGAGTGTTTTTCTCTTTTGTCTGTTTTATATTAACTTTCCATATATGAATGTTCCTTAGCTTTACTTCTGTTTTTTGCGTATGTTAATATTAGAATGTGTTATTATTGCTTTTATTTCCTTATATAGAGTTCCTTGTAAATAGAGTAGGAGTATATATAGTGGTGAATATCCCTTAAGCTACTCATCTTCAGGAGTGCTTTGACTATTTCTAGGGGTGTTTTTTCCTCATATATTTAAATTTTAGACTCACCTAAGAAACCTTGTCAAAGTTTTGTTTGGGGTTGGGGTGGGCACACTGACCATCTTCATCATTTTCAGCTTTCCTAACCATAAAAAATTGTTTTCTGATCTTAATAATTTTCATCCCATAGCTCTTCTGTTTATTTTGTTGTGTTTATTTCTTGGGACATTATTTGTTTTTGCCCATTTCATTTTAGTTTTTTTTCAGTGCTGAGAAGGGAACCCAGGGTCTTGTGTGTACCAAGTGCTCTATACTTAGCTACACTCCCAGCCCCATTAGATTTTTGTTTTTCATCTATTTTTCTCTCTTCCTCTTTCCTTTTTTTTTTTTTTTTTTTTTTTGGTAAAAGTTGTTTTCTAGCTCTTGATGGCAAATAAAAATGTTACATATTTTTGTATATTAGTTCTTCTAGTGATCGTGCTGAATTCTTACTCATTCCCAAAATTTGTGTATGTTCTTGTCCTGTCAATTGGGAGTAATTGAAGTTTCAACTTTTTGCTTTTGAACTTATTACTACTCTTATTTTTCTTGTTTCATTCACTTGGCTCCAGTAAATTGCTAACATAAACAGGAGTGTTGGCATCCTTGTCTTGTTCTTGATTTTAAAGACAGTGCTTCACAGTTCGTAATAACTAAATCTTGGAAACAACCCACGTGCTTATCAACTGAGGAATGGATAAAAAAGATTTTTTTAATAGAGTACTACTCGGCCATAAAGAAGGATAAATTGGAGGCTTTTCTCGGTAAATGGGTGTAACTTGAGACCATACTCAGAAGTGAAATAAATGAGACCCATATGTGTAAACATTGTATTGTCTCCCTAGTGTGAGAAACTGAACGAGTAAATAAGGTCCAAAATCTACAATAGATACTGTGAATTGTGAAGAAACTGTTCAAAAGAAAAACAAACAGTGATGAGGGAAAGGGTAAAGGAAGGAAGGGAAACCAAAAAAAAATACTCATGTATAAGATAGTTAAAGAGTTATGCAGCTAGCTTCTCATAATTCATTGAAAAGAAAGGCCTGCGCTAATATTGTTTGGACAAGATATCGTGCCTGTATCTTGTGCTCTGAATAACTACCACGAAAACAACATGCAATGTATTAATTATTGTAACCCTCCTACTGTTTTGAAGCTCTGTTTCATTGTTTTTTTTCCTCAAAATTAAAAAAGGTGACCATCTTATCAAATTAACACGTTTGATAAGCACATTGTAACCCTGATTGTCACAGCTGTGGCCACAGAGCCCACAACCGGAGGGGCTCCTTCTGTTACCACAAGGTCTACTTACTCCACTGGGTTGGAAAATACTCACAAGGGAGAGTTTATTTAGCTTCCATCCTCAAGAGTAGAACAAAGAGGTGAAGAAGAACTTTGAATTGCAACCATTTTATTAAGGACATTACAGGATTGTTACATATCAGATAGCAAGATGGAAAATAGGGCATTCCATAGTGAATATGTGTTAAATGTATTGGTGTGTGTTGTAATATGAATGAGATAATTTTAAGTCTTAGCAGTGTAGATGTCTAAGTTTATAACCTATGACTTCACATAAAAAAAATTGCATTGTTTGCTTTCTTCCGGCTATTCTACTAACTTCTAATTTACCAGCCAAACTGGTTTCCCAAATTTTAATATCGGTTTATATAATTGAATCTACATAGTAATGTAATTATCCAATCCATTCATTATATGGGATAAAGATGGTGTAGTTAAAACGTCAAAATCAAGGTTGTCTCCATGGGAAATAAAAAAAATAAAGACATGCTTCTAATCTTTACTATTAAAAAGTTTAGTATCTTTGGAGGGTGTATCATGATATTTATTAATTGTCAAATGGGTTGTCATCTATTTTTCCATTCGCAGTTTTTAAAAAAAATTCACACATAGCCAGGTGTGGTGGATGTCTGGAATCCTAGCATAGCAGTGTGAGAGGCTGTGGCAGGAGGATTGTGAGTTTGAGCTTAATCTTGGCAGTTTTGCAACTTGTGGAATCTTTCTTTCAAAATAAAAACGTTTAAAACAGGCTGGGAATGTTTCTTAGTGTGAAGATCCTAGATTCAATCTCTAACACCCCTCCTCATTCATAAGTAGGTCTTTTTATCAGGTAAAATTGTTTTCTTTTTATACAGATGATCTGTACTTTTCGTTCTTTGATTTTATTGCTTGAAACTGACTTGAATTCACTTGATTAAATGAATTTGGTCATGATATTTAAACTTTTTAAACATTAAAGGGTCATTTATTTTTAAATAATTTTCCTGGCTTGATTTTGTTTTAAAGTTATACTAGTTTAGTAAATGGTCTAAGGACTGTATACATCTGTCTTACTTTCTCATCACTGGAACACAGTACCTGACACCCATAAATTACATGTCGAGAGGGTTCTTGTTTGGCTCATTCCTAGCGGTTTTCAGTCTGTGGTCAGCTGGCCCCAAGGCAGGATAGCAGTAGGAGAAGAGAATTGCCCATGGCACGGGAGGCAGGAAGAACAAGGTGAACAAGGGAGGAGGAGGGAGACAGGTTCTTCCAGGCCACACCCCCAGTGACCCCCTTGACCCCAACATAACATCCAGCTATAAACTCATCAGTGGACTAACCCACTTAGTAGTATCATGAACTCATGATTCCATCACCTCCCAGAAGCCCCCCCTGTGAGCACCTGATACTTTGGGGGACAAGTGGATATAAATGATGAGAACATCTGCTGCTCTTGGACATGTTTAATACTGAAAAGATACTTTCATAGGTAATTCTTAACATATATTTTGACTTTTGGGAGGAGGTAGAGGGTGAAGTTTTGGCTCCCAGGTAAGTATGTTTAATGATAGGGAATTATTCACACTTGCCATTTTCTTTTTAATCGCTTTTGGAAAATTACATCGTTCTCATAATTTATCCATCTTCTCTGAACAGTCACATTTTTGACAAAAACTTATTCCTCGCACCCTCTTGGCCTCGCCCCTTGCTGAGTCTGTGGTTATGTTTCCTTTTCCTGCCGATGTGCCTGGTCTCTTCTTGGCGTGGAGTTACCAGAGATTTGTGTGTTTTGTTTTCTTTATGTTGCTGACTTCTGTTTTTCTTGATAGACTCTTGAGTCCTTTTTTATTCTGTGTGTTTCTTTTTTTCTTTGGGTTTATTCCTTCACTCAGATTTCTTAAGTTGGAAACTGACTCACTCATTTTTAAAGGCTTTGTTCTTTTCTCGTGAAATCACTGAAGGTATTAGTTCTCTTCAAAGTACTGCTTTATGGATGTTGTATACAGTTTTATACTTGCTAGTTTTATTAGTTTCTATGCTACTTCTCAACCTCCTGGTTGTAATTTGTTTTCCCCACAAGAAGGTAAAACATCAAAGGGCATGAGGAGGACTAAGCCCAAGTTTTGGGCTGTGCTGTCCTGGTCAGAGCTGGCACAGTTAGTTACTCACTCCTGTTCTGAATTACTCCTCTGAGGATGAGCTTGTGCGAGCAGTCACTTCGGAAAATGATGTGATGATTCAGGAGAAAATTAGGATTCAGACATGGTGGAAAGAAAGTTAAAGACTTTAGTTCAGCTTGCATTCTGCTTTTTTTCCACCACATTATTCTTTCTCAAGTGAAAAACAAGAAAACAAGCAAAAAACCTACACTGTCAACCATCATTGCCAGGACTTTTCTTTTGCAGCTACACTGGTGTCATTGACACTGTATACTGTAGCCCCTGAAAGTTTTCATTTAGAAAATAATTTCTGTTAAATCATCTATGTTGCCTTGTGTATGAGAGTTACAGAGAGTTAGTGTGTAAGTAATTGATAGCAGTTACCAATATAATGAGGAAACCTGTACTAATATTACCTGAGTAGCACTCAACTTGCTCTAAGGAGTCAGAAGATCTGCAGATTTTTGTTAGCATAGCTGTCCTGTATGCCCTGGAGTACATTCTGTTACTGGGGCAGCTCGAGGGAGTTCACTTCTTGTGTAATACTAGACCATGTATATAGAAGTGAGAGTGACTGACAGGGGGCTGCAAACCAGATCATGAAACTGCACTTGTCCAGTAAATAAGAAAAAGAGCGTTTGCTCACCTACTTATGTGAGGTCTTTCCAAAAGCCTCTTGTAAAGTGAACAAATTCCCAAAGATTGAAAATATGACAGTGCTCATTTTTAAGTTACTTTTTAAATAAAGTATACAGTATTTTTTAAAACATTGAAAATAGTTTAGGGTCACTCTGTGACTTAATGCTGGTGACATTCTGCTTAAGAATTTTGAATATAATAAGAAAATGCAAGAGCATATTTTTATAATTAGGGGGTGTCAGTCCTATGAGATAAAAATTTAGGTGGCATGATAGAAAAGTTGGACAGATTTTATTAAATTAAAATGAATAATGTTAGTACAGTTTAACGTAAAATGAAAATACTTTATTTTTTAATTTTCTTTGTTTTTTTTTTTTTTTTTCCGGTACCGGGAATTGAACTCACGACCTTGCGCTTGCCAGGCAGGCACTTTGCTGGTGAGCTAAATCTGCAACCCCCAAAACATTTTAATTACTTTGCGAAATATGTGCACTAGAACAAAACTTAGGCTTATTTAGGATGCTTTAAGCTTGGGAGGGCATTAACAGTTTACAGAACAAAAGCTCACAGTGATACAGGGAGGAAAGATTGTGGAATATATTAGTGAAGTGTCTATATATATTTTTAAAGGAAGATAGTAGTTTTATCATATTGATACTAACCAGTTTATATTGAAAATTTGTGGTTCTTGAGCTTATAAATTAATTATAAGGAATTGTGTTTTAAGGAGCATGTTTAATGGGAATTTCTTTTAAATAACTCTTAATTTACCTTTTAATACTAAGAACCCTAAAAATTCATCGTTTTTCTTATGAAGTTGTTTGTTCATTCATTCATTCATTTATTCAGTCTTTATTTTGCACCAGTCATCTTGCTTCATTTATTTATTTTTGACCCTGGGAAATAGGAAGGAAAAGGTCCTCGCCCTAGAGGAACCCTCCAGCCTTACCCTAGCCCTTGCCCAAGTTATCATGAAATCTGAACTGGTGAGTGAAATGCCTGGGTTTGATGCAGACCGGCAGTAGTGCCTAACAGAATGCCCTTTAGGAGACAGCAACTAATTTTTTTGTTGGTTGGAAAAGAAAGTCATCTCCTGCTGCTCTTTTTCATATTATATTACTTAGAATTTCAAATTTAAATATTCAGGTTCCTGAAGGGTTCTCTTGGTGAAAAGACAGTGAATGCTGCGAGCCAGACTTACATAGAAATTAGTATTGATGTCATTATTTGTATTACGTATAGAAATTAAAAGTACCATACATGAACCCCTCTCAAGTATTGGGGGATTTAAAATTCAAATCCTAGAGATCATTGCCTTTCAGGTAGACTATGCCAACTTTATAAAAGATGACTTGCATAGTGACAGAAGCAAGCATTGTTAGTACATGAATACAAAATAAATGCCTTTAAGTATTTTGTCCTTCCCATGTTTGAGCACAAAACCTTAAAATTTCACATCCTGATGAAACATGGAAGGCGAAGATTCTGAGTATATTCTAAGTGTCAATGATTATGTATGGAGCTAGTAATTAAATTAGAGACTTAAGTAGCTAACATGATTTTAATCTTGTAGGGTAATTCATAAAAGCTGCATTTTTGTGTACTTGTATATAGCATATAACATCAAATTCAAAATGTTACTTGTAAAATGCACAATAATTTCACTTAGCAAGGGAAAGAATCACTGCCAGTTAGGTTTCAACACAGTGCTCTTACATTTGATTAGCAGATGCATCCTGATTTTAGAGAAATTAAAATGTTGAAACCCATTTGTCCTAGATCCTATTACATATGTATGAATACTGCCTCGTTTTTTGGCAAGAGTACTTAAGTTAATTTGTGGATTTGAGGTGCACTGGGGACAGGCTCCCTGGGGACTGGGAAACACAGGAGTGGATCTTTACAGGTTCAGGAGGATTCAGGGAGGAATGATGGGCGGCAGGTTTTTTTGTTTCTCTTCTGTTCTTAGGTGCTTGACTTCAAGCTCTATGCCTCAGTATTTTCTGCATAAACGTTACAGGGAGACAAAAGGAATACGTGCATTTCTATTGATTTATTTAGGCTTTTCTCTAGCTTTGCTGCTTTGTCCTCTATAAGACCAAACAGCAAAACCTGTGAAAAATGAAGCAAGCGCCGATCTCTTTTTTCCTTCAGAGAGACTTACTGTTTTTTTCATGTGTCCTGGAGAAAGCAACTGACATGTGATATGAAACTGGGGAATGTAGTTGGCTGGGGAGAAAGAATAAAAAATAGATGGGAGGGAAGCAGTCTAGAAAATACATTTTTAAAAATACTAAAAAGCAAAACAGATACAGAAGTAACAAAGTACCATTTCACCAAAAGTACGGTATTCTTCAATATTCAGGTTGTATTTTGTGGGCTGTGCTATATATAAGAAGTATATTAAAGTCTGAAGGATGATAACTTAGAATTTTGCCCTAATGACTCATCCTGGGATGTGAAATTATGTGTGTGTGAAGAAAAGATTTGGGAGCAAAAAAACCCCAACAAAAGGTGATTCTGTGAATGAGCAGGGAAGGGAGGTCAAGAAAGTAAAATGGAGACAGATGTATGTAGTAACTAAGCAGAACTTAGTCCAGTGCAGTAGTCTTAGGGGGTGCTGAGCCGTGTAGGTAGTGTTACATTTGAGGTAGATGTCAGCTTCTAAGGTAGGCACTGTAAAAGATGAATACCAGTAATCAGTAATAAAATAGAACACTTATAACAGTGTACCCTAACAAAAGTCACTTACAGCATGCAGTATTCATTTCTAGAACCTTCCATATTTAGTTTCTTCAGATTGCTTGACTATGGAAAACTGAAATAAGGGAAAGTGAGGCTGTAGGTAAGGGGAGGCTGCTGTGTTCTCTGGGGTTATTTCGGTTGGCCCTCATCTGGCCTGTAGATCACCCCCTAGTGGCTGTTCAGCAGGCCACTCCACTGATGTGAGAACATACCCTCGGTTTCTGAGGGCCTCATCTTGCCTCAGCTGCTATGGTGGTGGACGCTGCTATTGCTGCTGGTGCCTCCGCTCTTCCTTCCCCCTTCCCCTCCCCCTCAGCCCTGGCCTGTCTTTGCCACATAGCCCCTCTCATACCAGCTCCAGCTGAGGCTTGCCCAGTGTCATACCTCCATGTTTCCCATGTGTCTTGCAGTTCTGTGTGTCTAGGTGGTATTCGGCAGACATTAACTGTGGAGGTGAAGGTGACTGGGTTGGCTCTGGGAAAGATTGGGTTCCTTTAGACAGGACTTTCAGTTGGTATCTACTGGTGCTTTAATTTCTCAAGTGTAATTAAGCAGGTATTTCTCCTGCTGGAACTTAGATTGCTTATCTGAAGTAAATTGTTTCTTTCAGTATCTTAAATAATCTGGTCCATGATATGTACAAATAATTTATGTATGCAATGTAGCAAAAGTAAAGGTATATTGTGACTATTAATAGAGACTGGACAGCTACAGATGGATCCTTCTTTAAGATTATATTTAATCCTAAAGACTAAGACTGCTGTCACTACACCTGTGTGGTAACATCTTTTTAACCCAGTGCAAGACAGTGATATTCTCAAGAATGGAGAAGTCCAGGTTTCTTTTTTTTTTTTTTTTTTAATTTTATTTATTTTTTATTTTTTATTTTTATTTTTTTTTGGTACTGGGAATCGAACTCATGACCTCAGGTTTGCCAGGCAAGCTCTTACTCTGCTGAGCTGTATCCCCAGGCCTGGAGTCCAGGTTTCTGAAGATTGATTTCAAGCTGCCAATGACTGTGGCTTGAAAAATTCCTTAAAATGATACTGTAGAGCAGTTTCAGTGCATATTGCCTAGAAGACTCATTATCATATTGTGTTCTTTTTGTGGCCTCAACCATGGTAAGAGAGGCATGGAGCATGAAATGAGCCCTAACCCTAAGCTTAGAAAGCTCAGAAGTTTCTTAGAAAAAGCAGTAACATCTTTGGAATCTTTCTCCCGAAAGTGGACCAACAAAACAAAACAGAAACCAAAAAAACAAACAAGTTAATTTTACAGTCTTTCAGCACAGAGAAATGTGACTGCTATGTGGTAAACTTAGTGTTTTAGCCAAAGCCAGAAAGCCTTCTACCAGATAATTTCCTTAAGCCTGCAAGAATACATCAGAATATTTGGTTTTCTTACTGGTGTCACTTACCTCATTAGCAGTGTTGAGACTTCCATCTTCTTCTGTTTTGTTATACATCATTAGAACAAGCTACAAAAATAAATGTACTTATTTCATAACACCTATCAGTGGTTGTCACTTTTCCTTCTCTTTCCTGTCAGTCTGGCTGTGGCATAGCCAGAGACCCCATCTTGACAAAGTTGGTCTTACTGCTAGGGGTTCTTGTCAGAGTTATGCCAATTGCTTATCAGAAATGTATGTAAGAGGTTAATAGAACAAATGCTGTAAGTTTATGCTTGCTCTCCTTTTGATGGTTACTTTCCAATGCATAGTTATGTAAAGTATAATTATAACAACGTGTTTTTGGGAAATAATGTAGATGTAATACATGCAGCTAGAAGATTACAAAAAGGGAGAAAAGAAAATAAGCTATATGCATAATGTTTTCATATCTCACTGGAATTTAGTTTAAATGCAAAGAGATTCATACAAGTTAAAATGTAAGCTAAGATCTAGTGCAGCTGTGAAGAAAAAAACATATATGGTGAACAGTTGATGCAAATGAAAATGTTGTATGAGAATATTCACTGAATGTAAAGGAAAGCAATAAAGGACAAGTAGAGAAATGAAAAGGACATGACTCATAGGGAACAAAGCTAAATGGCAGGCATAAATCTAGCTATAGCAGTGATAACAATGTGAATGGGTTAAACAGTCCAAACAAAAGCAGAGATTGTGAGACAAGATTACAACAAGATCCAACCATGTACTGTCTGTATAGACTCACTTTAGACTCAAAGGCACGAGTATGTTGAAAGCAAAAGGCTAGAAAAAAGAGACATACATTTTAAATGTAATGCAGATAAACAGTGCAAGAAGGCTGTTGTATCAGACAAAAGAGACTTTAAGGTAAAAAGTTTCTGAGATGAGAAACATTGTCTAATAATGGAAAAGTCAAGCAGCCACAAAGATATAAGTTACTCACAAAATCTGCCCAACAGCAGAGCCCCAAAATGTATTAAGCAGAAGCTGACAGAAATAAAGGGAGGCTGAAGAAACAATTCAGCACCACCTAGCAGAGATTCCGGTACCCCAGTGGCATTTTGTAGGCAGGAGGTCAGTGGGGAAACAGGACACTAATAACACTTTAAACCAGCAAAACCCAAACACTCCAGAGAACACTGAGAGAATATACACCTTCAGCACACAACGCATATGTTCCAGGATAGACCAGAACCGAGGAGGCCACAGAACAGCTCCCCACTACAGTTAAGGGAATTGAAATAATGCAAAGTCACCATGGAA